AGGTCACCCACCCCTCTTATGCCTCCGTAGCATGGCGAGCCAGCGTCTTGTGTCAGGTCTCCCTCGGGTCTTTGAGTCGCTCCTTTGCTCACTGGCGCCGTTGTGCACTCCTTGTGTCGAGGGTCAGCGGCTCGCCACTCCTCCCTTCGTCCGGCCACCGCTCCCTTCCGGACCTTCCACTTGGACGTCTGGGGCCCAGCCCCTCGTGCTGGGCCCGAGCAGGAGCGCTACTTCCTAGTGGTTGTTGACAACTACTCCAGGTACACCATGATGTTTCATCTCGCAAAGAAGTCCGCAATGACTTTTACGCCAATCCGGTGGCTCCTGGCCACTGAGGACACTCGTGCTCGTCGTGACAGTTGTCTCCACTCCGACCGTGGGGGTGAGTTCCGCTCTGACGTACTTGCCGGGTTCTGTGGTGAGCGTTGCATTGGCTTGATCATGGAGATCGCCCGCACCTCCATGATCCATGCCCGTGCGCCCCATTTTTTGTGGCCCTACGCGGTTCGCTACGCCGCCCACCAGCTGAGCCTCTGGCCTCGTGTCTCACGACCAAGGGATTTACCGACCAGTCTTTGGACCGGGTCCCCTGGTGTTGCGTCGGAGTTTCACGTCTGAGGCTGACTTGCGCTTGTCCGCGACACTTTCGTGGATAAGCTCTCGACTCGCGCCATCCCCTGTGTCTTCCTTGGTTTTCCGGTGGACTCCTCTGACTTTGAGTCTTACCACCCGCCCCTCCACGGGTTTTTCGTCTCCCTTGACGTTCGGTTTGACGATTCATTGTCTTACTACACCCGGTACCCCTGTCGAGGTCTCTCAGTTCCTCCCCCTCCTCTTTTCCTCGCCCCCACTCCTCCTCCTGCTCCCGCTCCTCCGGTACCCCCGTCCTCCCTTGGTCCTCCCCCAACAGGTGTGTCTCACGCTATCCCTCTACCCTCGGTCGCACGTCAGGTATCGTCTCCCTCCCCGCATTCCTCCTCACAGTCCCCTTAGCAGCCTTTGGCACTTCTGCGACAGTTTCCTGTGGACTAAGGGGGTGCTGGAGCTGGAGGTGCTGCCACTGGAGGTACTCGGTCTGGGGGTGCTCTTTTGAGGGGTGCTGGAGCTGGAGGTGCTTGCACTGAAGGTGCTAGTTTGGGGGGTGCTAGAGCTGGAGGTGCTGGCACTAGTGGTGCTAGTTCTGGGGGTGCTGGAGCTGGAGGTGCTGGAGCAGGAGGTACTGGCACTAGAGGTGCTAGTTCCGAGGAGAGTGGAGCTGGAGGCACTACTACTGCGCCTCCCCACCGCCACAACACACATATCCAGGCGGCTCGCCGACGTGAGAGTGAGGAGCAAGAGAGGCAGGAACTGCAGCAGTTGGACCCGCATGAGCAGCACGAGCAGCAGCAACAACTGCAGCAGCAGCAGCAGCAGTAGCAACGGCGGCGGCAGCAGCCGCAACAACCGCAACAGCAGCAGCAGACGTCGCACTCGCCACTTTTGCATCAGCTGTTCCCTCCAGTGAATGGCCTTCGGGCCCTTGGTCTTCCTTCCTCTTCTCTTATCCACTCACAGTCTCCTATTGTGTACGGTCCTACGTTTCCTCATCCAGACCTGGCTCCGGCTGTCTTCTCTCCTCCTCAGTCACAGTTTCGCGTATTCTTGCCTCTCTTATCGCCGACCCTCGTGCCTCTCTGTCGTCTATCTTGACTCTTACTGCCGCTGTCGCTGACTTTGCTGCCACATGCCGTCTTAACTTCGCCACGCGTATAGTGATTGCTCCACCCACCTACCCGTCCTCTGTCCGCCCGGGGTGAGTTTGCCCTTGGCTGTGAAGTACTAGAGGACAGGCAGTTTGAGCTCGAGTTCCTGGCAACCGCTTCTCCCTCTCTGTGTGCCATGCTGCTTTCCCGTGAAAAAGACCCCGACGCCCTTGACATTCTGACTCTTCGCACGTACCGTGATGTAGTGTCACGGCAGTGGGCCTCTCAGTGGAAAGCGGCCATGGACTCAAAGATGGCGTCTTGGAGATCCACAGGCACCTACGTCGACGCAGTTCCCCCCTCCCAGGGCGAACGTAGTTGACGGCATGTGGATCTTCAAGGTGAAGCAGCCGCCTGGATCGCCGCCTCTCTTCAAGGCGCGTTACGTGGCTAGAGGTTTCGGTCAGCGTGAGGGAGTTGACTTCTTCCAGACCTTCGCCCCGACCCTGAAGATGACGACTCTTTGGGTGATACTTCAAGTTGCAGCACAACGAGACTACGAGCTGCACTCCCTCGACTTCTCCACTGCCTTTCTCGAGAGCAGTCTGCACGAGGAGATCTGGTTGCGTCGTCCTCCTAGCTTTACTGGCACTTTTGCCTGGGACCCAGTGGAGCCTGAGACAAACCATCTACTGTCTCCGCCTAGCGCCCCGTGAGTGGTACGACACGCTACGCACCACTCTTGCTGCTCTTGGGTTTCGTCCTTCGTCCGCCGACCCGTCGTTGTTTATTCCTTCTGGTCCCACACCTTTCTTCATCCTCGTCTACATCGACGACTTGGTCTTTGCTACAGCAGGCAGGGCCGCTCTGGCTGAGTTGAAGTCCAAACTGCAGAAGAGACATACGTGCACTGACCTTTGTGAGCTGCGCCGCTACCTTGGCTTGCGGATCACCAGGGACTGAGCCGCTCGCACCATTACACTCTCACAGTCACACATGGTGCAGCAGGTCCTTCGGCAGTTCGGGCTTCAGCACTCCACCACACAGCCCACTCCTCTTGCCGTTGACCACAGACTCACTGGTCCTTTTCCCAACGAGCCGTTTGAGTCCCTACACAGAGCTTGTGGGGTGCCTCATGTACCTGAAAACTTGTACTCGTCCGGACCTCGCCTTTCCTCTTAGCGTCCTCTCTCGCTTTGTTGCGAATGGGAGACACCTTCGTGTTCACTAGACAGCTGCTGTGAGGGTGGCGAAGTACCTGGCAACAACATCAGACATGGGGCTTGTGCTTGGAGGGAGACAGCCAGTTGTTCTAACCGGTCACTACGACTCTTCCTACGCCGACGACGTGGAGACACAGAGGTCTACTCAAGGGTACTGCTTCAGCTTGGGCGCTGGAGCCGTGTCGTGGAGGTCTACTTGGTCGTCGTCTATCGCTTCATCCAGCGCAGAGGAAGAGATCTACACTGGTGCCATGGCTGCGCAGGAGCTTTGTTGGTCAACTTTCTTGCTCACAGACCTTGGTGAGCGGCCTCACTATGCACCGACCTTGTTCGCTAACGACAAGGCCATGATCCTCCTTTGTCGAGAGCCTCGACTAGAGAGCAGAGTGAAGCACATTGACGTCAGGTACTTTCTCCTGCAAGAGTTGCAGCGGCGCGGCCAGGCACGCTTAGAATTCGTGGCCTCAGCGGCCAACACAACAAACATTTTCACCAAGGCCGTAGCACATAGTGACCACCATAGGTTCTGTCTGTGGTTAAGACTTGTTGACACTGGTGTTCATGTTATAGTCACAATAGGCTCCAATGTGCCTAAAACGAAAGATAGAGTGCACAGCCGGATTTCTGCACAGCGGCTTCAAACGTTCATAGCGTTCTGGTTACAACTTCAAATGACCTGATTCAACTTGGATCTGGAGCGTCTAAACGTCGCCTACAATAGGCAATTTAGATCGCACAATTTCACCAAGTATTGACGACACAGTGTCGGTTTGAACGAACGGCACTATGGCAGCCACTATAGTCTTAGAACACAAAATAGGAAGAGATATGAAGAGTTACGAGTTGGGAATGACTCCCAGCTCCTACAAACCCCAAGAGCCGAGGTACAGTGATGTGGAACAGTGCCACACTGTCCCCAACCACGAAGGGTCTCGAAACTACCCTTCACTAGGGCCTACACCAAGTGAAATGTTACACTACACAAAGTAATGTAACTATCTTCAATATCTTGAGGTGTACCCATTTGGCGAGCTTCGAAATCACTTGAGGCTTGACACCAAGGCTCGGGCTCTTCATCACAAACTCATCCTTGAGTTCTTGATGGGTCTGCTGCACACACCTGCGACACACCGAACGTTCGACACAGGACAAAATAGAAGCCGCGCACGACAAAAATAGAAACCGCGCGTGAGACACAAACGACCGCGTAACACGCGTCTAGCGATAACTCGCTATTGACTCGACACACACACTCGACATCATGACTCAACATTCACACACAATTATAAGCATGAAATATATATTATCCCATGCCCTCATACCATTCCATACACACACACATGCACGCACACAGACAACAAGCCGAGTGCAAACCGTAGGGTTGCACCAACAAACTCCCCCTCGGATTGTTGGCCTTAGGATATGTTGCTCTCTCAGTTCAGAGCCATCCCAGCCAGCTTGCAACACTTCCAATGCTGCTGCTCCACCAGCCTCTTAGTCATCATGTCAGCCGGCTGCCCCGTCGTCTTCACGTACCGCAACTCAACTTCACCCGCGGTCACCATGCTCCTCGTCCAATGCCACTTCACCCTCATGTGCTTTGTGAGTCCATGCAACACAGGGTTCTTAGCAAGAGCAATGGCACCCTGGCTGTCACAGTAGAGTGGGGTAGGTCCTTGCTGCTCCTCCCCCAATTCAGCCAACAAACGCCGCTGCCACACAATCTCCCGTACGGCACGGAAGAGTGTCATGTACTCGGACTCCACCGAGCTCAAAGCTTGGTCAACCTGCTTCTTGCTCTCCCAAGCAGTTGGGCCTCCACCAACACAGCATATGAAACCTCCCACACTTGTCATGTCCTCTGGTTCCGATGCATATGACGCATCCGAGTAGGCGGTGAGGAACAAACGCCCGGGTTCAACACCATCCGCGCCCTTTTGGCGCCTTTGTGCCGCCGCCGAGTATTGCAGCACAACGGTCGGTGTTTGGCCAAGATACTTGGCCACCCTCATTCCAGCTGCTACCTGCTCCTCATTAGGGCATTGCACAACCCTAGCCAGCTGCCCGGTAGCAAACGTGACGTCCGGTCGGGTGTTTACCGCCGCATACATGAGGTTGCCCACCAACGAGTGAAAACGGCGCCTCTCCTCTTCACAAACGCTCTCCTCCTCTCGTCCCTTCACACACTTGAACCCAGAGGAAAAGGGAGTAGCCACATGACCTTCACTCTGGCCGAAGTTGGCAGCCAACGCCTCCAGGTACTTCCGTTGGTGCACTCGCATGCTCCGCTTCTCCACGTCTCGTTCGATGTGGAGCCCAAGGTAGAAGTTCACGTCACCAAGGGACTTGCACTTGAACTTGTCATGCAGCTTCAGCATCACCTCCTTCACAAGGTCAGAGGAGGGTGAGAATATAAGAATGTCATCCACATAAACCACCATGAAGCTCCTCTGCTCCCCCTCGCCAAGCATGAACAAGGAGTGATCGGCCGTTGAGGGAGTGAAGCCGATCCCCTCCAACACTTCGCGCAGCTTCATGTACCATTGCCTAGGGGCCTGCTTCAGCCCATAGAGGGCCTTCTTTAGCTTCCACACTCTGCCACTACCATCATCAAACCCCTCTGGCTGCGCCATCAAAATCTCCTCCTCAAGGATGCCGTTAAGGAATGCCGTTACGATGTCCATTTGTTTTACTACCCATCCTTTGATGGCGGCTCCCGCGAATAGGGTTCGCAGCGTCGTCGGCTTCACCACAGGGGCAAACAGCTCCTTGAAGTCCACCTTCTCCTTCTGCTGGTACCCCTTGGCTACAAGCCTAGACTTGTAGCACTCGATCTTGCCGTCGGCATCCGACTTGATTTTGAAGAGCCACTTGGACGTTATCGACGTACGCCCCTCCGGTAGCTCCACCAATTCAAACGTGTCATTTTCCTTGATGCTCTTCAGCTCACTCTCCATGGCCTTCTTCCACTCCTCAGCATCACTGCTCTCCAAAGCCTCCTTGAGAGTTGCTGGTTCTCCCGGCATCTCCACCGGAGAGAAGAACGCGAAGGCACACTCCTCGTAGTCACTCTCCTCGTCGTCTCCGACCATCATTGCCGCTCCGGCCAGGGCTGTCTTGCCCTGGTTTCCCAGCGCATCATCGGTCAGCCTATTAGGGGGTTGAACTCTCCTCTTGCCCCTTCCTTCCTCCTCAGCTGCAGGGACTTGAAGGCCTTGGCGTTGCTGCGGTGTGGCTCGAATCCGTGGAGCACTCGTAGTACGGGAAGGGAGTGACGGTGCACGCTCGCTCACTTGCTGCACCTCCTCCTCTTCTTCCTCTGCATCATTGGCCTCCTCTCCCCCATTCACAAGGGAGGATTGCCTTGTGGTTGTGCTGCCGCTGCTCAGCTCCAAAGACAGCTCCACATGCTCACCTCCCCAAACCGCACGCCTATCTTCGCCTCATTCTCCGCCTTCCAATCTTTGTACATGAAGTTCTCCATGAACTTGCAGTCCCTGCTCACCAAGAACTTCTTGGTGAGTGGGTCCCAAAGAAGCCATCCCTTGCTGTTTTGAGCCATGCCCAAGTGCACGGCCCACACCGCCTTGGCACCAAGCTTGTTGTGCCGAAGATGCTTAGGCACGAGCGCCATGCACATGCACCCGAACCCCCGAAGCATATCCACCTTTGGCTTCCTTCCTAGCCACTCCACATAGGGCACCCATTTGTCTGCTCCCACATGAGTCAAGGCTCGGTTCTTGGCCACACACGCGCTCCGCACCGCATCAGGCCAGAAATAGTCGGGTAGCCCGGCTTCAATGAGCAACCCGCGTGCCGCCTCCGTGATTGTGCGGTTCGCTCGCTCGGCGATGCCTTTCATTGCAGGGGAGTATGGCATGGTGAGGGAGTGCCGAATACCATTCTTCTTCAGCCACAACCCAAACTCCTTGCTCAGGAACTCTCCCCCTCGATCGGTGCGGATTGACTTGACTAGACGGTCTTGTTGCCGCTCCACCATTGGGAACCAATCCGCCTTCAACGTTTCAGCCACGTCGCTCTTCTTGGCCAGCACGTACACCCAAGTCATACGGGTGTAGACGTCCACAATAGTGAGGAAGTACTCAGCTCCAGCAGCTCCAAGCTTCAGGGGGCCCACCACGTCCATCACCACCTCATCAAGTGGTGCCTTAGCCGTTGCCTCCGAACTAGAGAATGGGAAACGGGTGAACTTGGCTTGCATGCACGTCGGGCAGCCAAGTACCTCATCGGGCTCCCCCTTCATACGTATGCCAGCAACCATCTCATTCTTTACTAGCTGCTGCAAGATGGGCAGGGCCACATGCCCCATGCGCCGATGCAAGGTGAGCCAATCACACTCCCCCGTAGCCGAAGTTGGATTGGAGAATGCCGCGCTCGCAATAGCGCCCCACATACTCTCTCCGTAGTCCTCCTCTGCTGCTGCCTCGGGGTTCTCCTCACCCTTTTGCTGCTCCTTGGCTGCTGCACCTCTCTCCATAGGTTCACCAAGCTTGCTGGTCCCTCCAAGATTGCACTTCTTGGACTCCTTCTCCTTAGCGCGACCGTCCGCGCAATCGCCGCTACCAGCCGCTCCACCTTTGGTGCTGACGCTTGCTGCCACTTGCCTCTCCTTAGGCATTGGGACCACAGGGATCTGCCACATCTCGTTGTAGACATCTCTGTCCTCATGAAGGTCCCAAAGAATCCGATCGCCAAGCCTTGCGGTGTAGGTCTTGGCTCCCTTTGAGTTCGTGTCCATGTCGGCCTTTGCCAACCGCCGCACGGAAATCATGTTCGCAGCAAGGCTGGGCACCCAAAGCACATGCTTGAGGCCCACCATCTTCCCATCAGCACCCTTAAACATGGCCTTGCCCATGCCTTTCACCTCCGCTCGCTGCCCCAAAGCTGATGTGACATGCTTCACCGGTGACGGTTCGAGTTCGGTGAGCAAGTCCGGGCGAGGTGTCATGCTATAGGTAGCGCCACTATCGATCACCCAATAGTCCAGAGGGTGTAGAGTCACCTTCCCCACAGCTGCTGGCTCCTCAAAGCCTTCATCCTTCTCTGGACCAGTCGGTACTTGCGTCGACACGAAGTAGAATAGACCCGGGTACCGATCGTTGCTCGGGTCCTTGTCGTTGTCTCCGCTCTTCATGTTTGCAGCTCCGCCACCGCGACCGCCACGGCCTCCACGGCCTCTTCCTCTCCCTCCTCCTGCTCCTCTACCCTCTTGGCCTTGAGTAGGGGTCCAACCATCAGGGAGTTTGTAGCAGTCGCGCCACATGTATCCGCTCTTGTGGCAATAGTGACACTCGCCGTCGAATCGGCCGCGACCGCGTCCGTAGCTCTTGTCGTCGCTGCCGTAACCGCCACTCCCGCGGCCTCCGCCGATGTTGCTGCCACCAAACCTTCCTCCCCCTCGTCCTCTACCTCTTCCTCGACCATATCCACGGCCGATGCTCGCTGCCCCAGCGCCATCCGCACTCGCCAACTCACGGCGGCGGAAATCCTCTTGAAGGATAGCTCGCTTCACGTCTTCAAGCGAGAGGCGGGGCAAGTCGTGATTAAGGTTGATGATGAGCGAGGACCATGACTCAGGGAGTAGGGCCAGCAACTTGGTCTTCTTTTGGAGCTCACTATAGTTCAAATCAGCTCCCTCAAGCCGCGTCAACAAGTCGAAGAATTTTTGCACCCCTTCTTCAACCGCTTCATCCTCTTCAATTCGTAGTGTCGCCATTTGCCGTTCCAACACCACAGCTACCGCCGATGTTGCAGGAGCGTGTACACCCTTGAGAGCAGCCCATGCCTTTGGTCCCTTCTCTGGTTCACGCTGGAAAGGCTTGATGTGACGGATCTGGCTGCTCCCCAACGCTTGCCCTAGTAGGAGGTAGCCTTGTGCGCTCCTCCGCACCCACGGGCTCTTCTCCGGGTCGTTCTCGGGGCGCTTCTCCGATCCTTCCATCACCTCCAGAAGGTCATAGTGATCAAACACCTTCTCCATTCTGAAGGACCACTCAGCAAAGTTGTCACCGTTGAACTTGTCAAGGCCAAACACTCTAGGCTCGTCCCTAGATGGGCCAACACTTGGTTGCACGGGCGCCATGGCTGAGTCACGGGGTTGGCCTTGAGCTTGGGCTTCTCCACTGCCACCAGCACCTCTGCCACCCCTTTCTCCAGGTCCAGCCATTGTCGAAACTGCTCCAAGGGGCTCTGATACCACTTGTTATAGTCATAATAGGCTCCAATGTGCCTAAAACGAAAGATAGAGTGCACAGCCGGATTTCTGCACAGCGGCTTCAAACGTTCATAGCGTTCTGGTCACAACTTTAAATGACCTGATTCAACTTGGATCTGGAGTGTCTAAACGTCGCCTACAATAGGCAATTTAGATCGCACAATTTCACCAAGTATTGACGACACAGTGTCGGTTTGAACGAACGGCACTATGGCAGCCACTATAGTCTTAGAACACAAAATAGGAAGAGATATGAAGAGTTACGAGTTGGGAATGACTCCCAGCTCCTACAAACCCCAAGAGCCGAGATACAGTGATGTGGAACAGTGCCACACTGTCCCCAACCACGAAGGGTCTCGAAACTACCCTTCACTAGGGCCTACACCAAGTGAAATGTTACACTACACAAAGTAATGTAACTATCTTCAATATCTTGAGGTGTACCCATTTGGCGAGCTTCGAAATCACTTGAGGCTTGACACCAAAGCTCGGGCTCTTCATCACAAACTCATCCTTGAGTTCTTGATGGGTCTGCTGCACACACCTGCGACACACCGAACGTTCGACACAGGACAAAATAGAAACCGCGCACGACAAAAATAGAAACCGCGCGCGAGACACAAACGACCGCGTAACACGCGTCTAGCGATAACTCGCTATTGACTCGACACACACACTCGACATCATGACTAAACATTCACACACAATTATAAGCATGAAATATATATTATCCCATGCCCTCATACCATTCCATACACACACACATGCACGCACACGGACAACAAGCCATCGACGGAAGAGGTCCATCGACCAGCGGGTAGCTCGACCGGAGCTGGTGGTCGACCAGAGGCACCTGGTGGTCAGCCAGAGGCGCGTGGTGGTCGACCAGAGCACTTGGTGGTTGACTAGGTAACCTGCTGGCGAGTTCTGCTGAGGCACGCGAACATCGTCGAGGTCGAAGTGACGAAGGCAACTTCGAGCTGGTATCCCGAAGTCGATGTGGCTCGTCAGGCGCAGACAACAGCCGACAGATACACAACGAGGCGAGTCGGGCCAATCGTCTGCGCACATCTGCGAGCGTGCACACTGCTGTCTTCTACGGGGCAACGCTGGACAGCCGCTCTACTGTAGCGTTGGCACGCCGTCGACATGCAGTGTTGGCAGGTCGCCTTTCTGCGGTGTTGGCGCGGCTCCTCTACGCAACGCTGGCAAGCAGTCGACCAAGTTGTGCTGGCGGTCGACCAGGCTAGCTGCAGAGTTGCTAGGTGCCTAATGTGTCGATTTCTGTCATTGCTTGTTCAATCATTCTGTAATTATGAATTTGCTAGTGGAAACCCTTGCCGATTTCTCCTGTGAATGTGCAAGCGCTAAGAAACTAAGCAAAGCTACAATCACTCCTAGTAGTTCGTGCCAACCCCCCGTAGTCTAGCTCACTACCGTTGTAGATTAACTCTCCGCAATATCCAGAGGCCTGCTCGACACTTCTTCCTAGTCTATTCTAAGACAAATGCGCGTCGCCTCAATGCGACTACTACTATATTTCACATTGGTCAGCGTAGAGCACGCTGACGTCGCAGACGAGTTGGAAGATGACTTGTCACTGTCGGAAATTCCCTAGCGACTCGAAATGCTCGTCCCGACCACATGCCCCTGGACACCCCACACAATGCCGGTTTCACGCGGGAAAAAAAAGCATCGAGGCCTAGGGCAGCCCAAAAACAACTTGAAAGCGGCCCTGCGTGTCATCATTACCACGAGCAAAAACAAATTGCCGAAACCAACTGTACATGTCTCTGCCCGTTGTGTATCCTTGCCCGTTGGTTGAAGAACTGGCACATGGATTTCAGCCTTTTTACGGTGATTCAGCCTTTTTTTCAGTACTAGGGCTGATTTGTCAGCTTTTTCCTCAAAAACTAGGTGACTGTCTAGTGGTTTTAATGAAAAATGACATTTTGGCTAATTTTAAGCGTAAATTTGCCTGTGAACTCTGATTTCTCAACCTATCCAAGGGCATGTTGAAGAATCTGGTATACTGCTGCCGTTTGAGTAACCCAATGACGAGCACAACTGTATAGGTCGTCTGGTCGCCCACGGAAGCGATACATTAACATTTTGGGACGCGATGTTGGGAAAATGTATAAATGCAACTCGGAAAAAACAGCATTGAGATAGAAGTGTAGATCCAGGAATGCACCCTTACACTTTTAACACTCTTTTTTTCTTTTTTTTCTTTTTTTTGATATCTTGTGCATTACATGAATGCAAAGACATCGACACTCGTAACTGTTATGGTGAGGGGAGCGCTACAATAGCCAGTATCGCAGATCCTCTCTGACGCGTTTACGGCGGTTGATGTTGTTAAAGAACGAGGAATGAATGCACTAGGAAACAGGTGGGTACAAGTAGGAAAACCTAAAAGTGTTGTACCCCATATTGTCTACCCCACTACAGCCTACACAGACTATAGCATATAAGTTTGACACACCCCCATAGGCAAAGTGGGCGAGAACAAGAGGTCACAAGACCAGTCAAGCAAAGCACAATAAGCTCAAGGTGGATCACAACGTCACCACACATTCGGAGCACAAGTTCAAGGCCACAAGGCCAGTTCACATGCAAGATTATATATAAAGGTAAACAAGCAAGTGCAGGTATAGATACATCACAGTACAAGCAAGGTCAAGCAGTGAGCAAGTGTAGCCAAGTAGGCACATGACCTAGCAACGTACAAAAGCGCTGATGATCACAAGGAGGAAGTGCCTTGGTAAAGATATCAGAAGTGTTGGCCTAAGAGGCCACGTAAGCAAGGCGCAGCTGACCACGCTGCTGCAGCTCACAAGCAAGGAAGTAGCGTCTGCGTGACCAGTGAGGACCACTGAACGCCGCCCTCCAAGCACTAGCCCCATGCCCGACGTACTGCACAAGTAGCGCAACACCCTCTTCGCTGCAGCCATGTGCTCTGGTCGGTGTCTCCCAGGAGCAACATAGCGTGCCAAGATGCTAAGAGGGTATGCAAGGTCAGGTCGAGTGCAGGTCATCAGGTACATGAGGCAGCCAACAAGCTCTGGGTACGGGCCACTCGACTCTATGGACTCATCCGAAGGCAGAGGTGAGAGCGAGTGGCGAGTAGACAGAGGAGTGGCCTGAGGCGATGAGTACGTGAAGTCCAAGCGCTGAAGGAGCTGCTGCACCATGTGTGACTGAGTCAGGGTAATGGTGCGCTGTGCTCTGTCCCGGGTGATCTGCAAGCCAAGGTAGCTGCGCAGTTCTCCCAGATCTGTGCACGTGTGTCTCTTCTACAGCTCGAACTTCATGTGGGCGAGTCCAGCAGTGTCAGCTGTGGCAAAGACCAAGTCGTCGACGTACACGAGGATGTAGAACGACGGCAGAGAGGTGTCGGTGTGTAGAAACAGCGACGGGTCGGCAGTAGAAGGAGCAAACCCAAGAGTCGCAAGTGTAGTCCTCAGTGTGTCGTGGCACTCACGGGGCGCCTCGCGGAGACCGTAGACTGGCCGCCGGAGGATCCACTGGATACCAGGAGGAAACGACCCAGTTAAGCCAGGTGGGCGGCGCAGCCAGATCTCCTCGTGCAGGCTGCCCTACAAGAAAGCTGTGCTTAAGTCAAGAGAGTGAAGCTCGTAGTCGCGCTGAGCGGCTATGTGCAGCAGCACCCAAAGAGTGGTCATCTTCGAGGTGGGAGAGAAGGTCTGAAAGTAGTCAACTCCCTGCCGCTGACTGAAGCCTCGAGCCACGTAACGCGCCTTGAAGACAGGCGGAGAACCCGGCGGCCGCTTCACCCTGAAAATCCACATGCCACTGACGATGTTCGCCCCAGGTGGGGGAGCCTCATTGACGTAGGTGCCTGTGGACTTCCAGGAAGCCATCTCTGCGTCCATGGCTGACTGCCACTGTGAGGAGTAGGGACCCTCGATCGCCTCAGCGTACGATCGAGGAGTCGGGATGTCTGGTGCATCCGGGTCTCCCTCAGGGGCAATCAGCATGGACACAAGATGAGGCAAAGCAGCACCAAAACACTGGAACTCCTCCTGCCTGTCCTCATGGACGTCCGTGCTTAGAGCACACTCACCCCCGACGGACGGAGGACAGACAGACGCAGACTCAACAACGAGACTAGCAGCGTAGTCTAGACGACAGCGAGCAGCAAAGTCGACAAGCTCAGCAACTAGGGCAGACGCAGCAGTGGACGCAAAGGAAGGGTTAGTGACAACAGTAGCCAGAAGACGCGTGACAGTAGGACTGGCAGCACGAAGAGAGTTAGACGTCGGGTCAGCAAGAGCAGGACGAGAGGACTCTGGAGGAGATGGCAACGGTACACGCAGTGGAGCAGTGGAAGGACGCAGTGCCATCTGGTGTGTGCCTGGGACCGAAGGAGGACGCGGACGCGGAACACGACTACTAGTGCGAGCAGCACGAACAGGCGACGCAGGACAAGACGCAGGCGCACGACGCTCAGCAAGACCTCTAGTAGGACCGGTGTAGGGAGAGGGAGCAGGCAGTGGGGAGGCGGGCTGTAACTGCGACTCAGACTGGACAGGTGGCGGACACTCTGAGGAAGGAGCAGGACCAGCAGAAGGCGGGAGACGAAGAACCTGCTCAAGGAGCGGAACGAAGTACGGCCGTGGCCGCGCAGCGCCTCCAAAACCAGCAAGGACAGCACCAGCACCCCCAGCGGCAGCACCAGCACCAGTAGTACCCCCAGCTGTAGCACCGCCAACTCCAGCACCCTCAGAAGCAGCAGCGCGAGCAGCACCTCCAGCGCCAACACCCCCAGCAGCTCCAGCTCCAGCCGGACCACCGGAAGACTCGACAGCCACAACTCTAGCACCTCGAGCAGCACCTGCTCCAGA